GGCAGTCACAATTGGTGAATTGAAGACCCTCAGTCTTCCAATTGATCTGTGGGTTATGATCCCTGAGCCATGGAATCCCTAACACGATGTCATACCGTCCCAATGGTGTCACGTCGAAATCTATGTGTTCGAAGTGGTCCATTATAGTCATAGGTACGGTCCCTGACTCGACTGTTAACGCGAGAGTTCCCAGGTTCTCCCCGTTCAGTCCGGTAATCGCTTCTGGTTTCGCTTTCTGTTTTCCGAGTATCCCAAGTTGCTGCATGAATTGCGGGTTCATGAAGTTTCCGGTTGCGCCAGAGTCAACTAGCACTTGAGCTGGTTGTCCTAGCACGGTTGCTTGAACCTTCAAATGCTTCCCTGACTCGGTGGCCGCTAATTGCTGTTCTGGCCACTTTGGTTCTGGTTGGCTTGGGTGTTTCTGCGGAAATTTCGAGTTTTCTATTTTCGCTGCGTAATGCGTCATACACTGATTGTCGAAGCAGGTTATCCAGTGCATTGCTTTGTGGTGCGGGTGTCGTCTATACCCTATGCATGAACATCCGAAATTGGTGCATGGACAGTGATCCTTCCTGGCTTCTACCACTTCTGGTACTTGTGGTCGATATGTCGCGATGTACTTCTGGTCATGATGTGTGGAGCACATATCCGTGTAGCACACAATCCAAGGGAGTTCGTCGTGTTTCCAGTGTCCCTTGTTTCCTTTGAAATGTATACACATGCAGTTTCTGTGATCGCATCTCGGATCTGTCCCGGCCACCTGTACCTTGCGGCTGACTTTGAACAGGTGGTGGTGATAGTCCGTGTTATCTCGTCCACATGTTGGGCAAAATTCCGGATGACGGGAACATCTCTGTAGGTGTTGTCCCCAATCCTCGTTTCGCGTTTCCCAACATCTCAGGTCCCAATGTGGACAGTGTTGCATGACTTCTTTGAGTTCTGGGCAAAATCGCGCTGGATTTTCCTTAAACTCCTTCATGATGCGGTCCAACCAATAAGAGACGTCACCTTCGTCATCTTCCTGGTTCTCTTTATTTTCATCCCATCGCATGGGGCATGATTCATTGATGTCTGATGGGGGTTTTTCCGGGGTATCGGGTATCTCACTGAGTCTCTCCTTGCTGGGTTCAAGGCCATTCAACTGAGTACCGTACTCTTCGTCCAAAGGGTCGAACTCGTCCCAAACTATATCGGGGTATTCGTCCTCTAGAGCTGGCTCATTACTATCGTCGACTCCCGTGGGCCAATCGAATGGTTCGGATAGTCGGTGGATTTCTTGCGGTTCTGTTGGTGCTGTTGGCTCATCCGTGTCGGCCTGTTGCCTCAACCGGTTCTGGTACGTTCTGCTTACTGGCACTAGCAGTCGTCCTTGTTGTGTGGCGCGTAGCTCCTTGCTACTTCGTATCTGTACTGCGGATTTGATCCAACCTCCTGCTGGTCTAACCCCAGTGGTATCGTAGGCTCCTCTGGCCTCTTCATTTGGTTCTGACCGATCTTCGTCTGTGGCCCTCAGCTGCTTCTGAGGCTGTTGCCGTTTCTGCTTGCAGTCCTTCGACTGGTGACCTGCCTTGCCGCAGTTAAAGCATAAGCGGTCCTTTTTGCGCCTTTCGAGCTCCTCCTTGGAGACTCCATTTCGTCGAGTCTGATGCTGCGTTGCATCCAGCTCCATTGGTTTTGGTCCGTAGGGATCCTCGTATCCCAGGCTTCTAGGCTGTGCTGGCCGTCTATTATTGGCTCGGTAGCCCTGTTGGTTGTTTCGTCGAGGCATAGACCCACTGGTCCATCGGCCTTCCTTTCGTTTTGTGTTGTACTCGTACAATTTATTGTCGATCTTGACCGCCGCTGCGATCATTTGCTGCAATGTGTCCGGTCGTTCTTGCCAGATGAGTTTTTCTTGGATCTCCATCTTGAGTCCTTCTTCAAATCGTGCGACGTAGGCGTCTTCATCCCAGTCCAAGTGACTGATGACTTGCAAGAATTCGGAGGCATACTTGGATGCCGATCCCGTCTGCTTGAGTCGCCATAGTTTTCGTTCAGCGTTTCGTGCTGCGTCGATGTCTCCGAATGTCTGTTCGAGGTGTTCCTTGAACCTGGCATAGCTAGAGAAGATTCGTTTGGTATCGTCGTCCTGATCCTTTGCCGGCTTTTCCTGATAATCGCGGATGAACGGCTCGAACCAATTGAACGCCGTTCCGGTTAGATAGGTGGACGCGAAGAAGATTTTGTCAACCTCATTCTTGAGCTTTTCTTTGTTCATGTTGAGGTACAAGTCTAACTGGGTCAAGAAAGCCCTAAGCTTTGATCGATTGCCGTCGAACGGTTCCGGTGGTCTGACTTTGACAGACTTGACTGCCAATCGACCTTCGAGTAACTGGTTCCGTTGCTCCAGGGCAGTGATGCTTTCTTGCAACTGACTAACCATACCCATCAATTCCTGCGTCGTCGGGCCTTGCTGTTGCCCTCCTCCTTGGGCACTGGAGCCCTGCTGCGGAGTGCGCGGTGAACTTGAAGTAGTCGACATGATGGATGGTTATAACTGGTGAACACTCGTACTGACTGGTGCTCAATGTGTCAAACCCTAGGATCGCTTCTCTGTCCCGGTTAGCTTAGCTTCACTGGTATACGTACCGTCGAACTGGGTCGAGGAAGTATCAGGCTGATGACTATCTAAGGACAACTGGTCTTGGACACGAGAAGAGAAGTAAGGCCAGATAGTGCCGCGCAGCTATCCGTAAGTAAGTGCGGACGAGTGTTCTATCGCTAAGCTTCCAAATGTATGGTTACTTAAAGACAGTGTTATTGAGCACGAAGAACAGAACTAACTAAGTACATGAAAGAGTGTCCTTATATCCTATCCTCCGTATACCACATCGTATACCATTCTGGGTAGATCGATGGTCGACCCAATCGTAGTCCAGGGTTCCAGTATACCTTAAGTATACCCTTAATGGTAGGCTTGATGGTAGATGGTCACGTGATGCGTGGCCGTTTCGGGCGTCGTATTGGCAATTCGCAATTGTACTAAATAACAACTTGGCTTTGCCCGAGCGCTGCCCTTATCGGCGCTTTCTGCCTAGCGAGTCCGCCTTACTAGTAGATTAACTAGCAGGGGTCCGTAACATAAATATTATAATTATTTAAAATTTCACTTATCCTCTCAGGGTTCTATATTATATATTTTATATATATTATATATCCCAGGGCTCCTATTATATATCTTAAAAATTTCAGAACACAGTCAATTAGGATTATTAAATATTATAAATAGATATCTCTACCTACTAATTAGACTCTGTTATACTAGGATTATTAAGTATTATATTATTAAATATTACAAATAGTTATTTCTAGCTACTAAGCAGGCTATACTATATCAAGACTAAGTATTATAATTATTTATAGTTTTACTTAACTTACAAAAGTCCTATATTATATATTTTATATATTTTATATATTCTATATATTCTATATATTATATATCTCAGGGGTCCTATATATAGTTTTATTTATATTATATATATATATTTCCAGGACTTTTAACCCAGCAGACCCTCTGCTGGGATTATTAAATATTATATTATCAAATATTATAAATTAAGCATTATAATTATTTATAATTCTACTAAATAATAATCTGGTTCTACCCGAGCGCTGCCCTTGTCCGCGCTTTCTGCCTGGCGACTCCGCCTTACTAGTAGATTAACTAGCAGGGGTCCGTAACACCAATCTGCTCCGCGAGCATTAGGTATTCCATATGATATTTTTGGGGCATGTGATGAATCTGGATTTACATGGGCAAGAGAGTTTTCAGGAAAATAGATAAGAGTTCAGTTAGTATAGGCGAATTCCAGCCGACACTTACTATATTTATATAGCTTCAATTCTGACTGGATTTAGTAAGATTGAACATTGTATATTTTCGAGATATAAGGCGGTGAGGGTCACTGACAGCTCGTTGGTCGCGCCGCTTCGTTGTCCGATTACATAAATAATACATGATAACCAACTACACCATCCAGCCATGCTTGTTGGGAGTACCTTGGCTTTTTGTTTTATGAGCCTGTGCAACAGCCAATCCAGAAGTTGTGTCAAGTCCTCGGTCAATGTTGTGTATAACGTAATCACCAATCAGACGGGCCCCACAGTCAGGCGGGCCACCCTGTTATCCCATATAAAAGATACCTTATTTATTCTAGGATATCTCAGCCAATACAGAGTTTGAGAAACTCTAACTTTGTACTTAGATTTTATATGAAAGAATAAATACTACATCTTTTTCTTGAGATTTTTGTAATTTTTTTAATAAAGGTAAATTACAGATATTATAATATTAAATGCTAATATATATATATTCAGATATTTCTAAAAAGTATCTACAGTCTCCTTATAGTACTTATAGATAATATCTCAAGATTAACACTCCTAAACTTTTGATGGTTGAGATATTTGAATTCAAAAAGAATCTATTATATAGTATTACAGGGTGGCCCGCCTGACTGTGTGGCTCATCCGATTGGTGATTACGTTACTTTTACCGCTCTAGGCAGCAACTGCCAAACAGCGCCGCCCTTGGGTCGGTCCATTGTGCTGATCTAGGCTGCGGCATATCCGTATTGGCTGAAATCCATCCAGAGCTGAATTACGACGTAGCACACCTATCGGATAGCAGATACAGGGATAGATTCTACATGGGATAAACCTTGGCGGCCTTGTAGCCTAAGGCAAAAGCTGTGCGTCGTCCGGCGCTTGGCGCATCGAACCCAAGCAACTTCCGGCGTAACATCTCAGCCTTGTGTACTCAGTAACTTCTACCTTAACTTCCATGGTACCTGAATGCGTTAGTCAACCAAATGAGAGTAGATTACTTCCAACGGTGAAGCCTCCTTGCAATGTCGGAAAAGAACTTACTTTCCTACGATGAGTTCGCTGTGGGCTGGATCTGTGCCCTGCCACTGGAGATGGCTGCAGCTAAAGCAGTCCTCGACGAGGAATACCCGAATCCACATTCATCTAAGCACCATCACAGCATCTATGTGCTCGGAAAGATCTCCGGACACAAAGTGGTCATCACATGTCTCCCATACGGGATTATTGGAACCACGGCGGCCACTGCGGTGGTCGACCAGATGCTGTCCACTTTTCGGTCCATCCGCTTTGGCCTCATGGTCGGAATCGGCGGAGGAGTCCCGTCTGCCGCCGATGTCAGACTGGGGGATGTGGTCGTAAGTAAGCCTACTGCCGGCCTTCCTGGGGTGATACAGTACGATTATGGCAAGACGGTTGCTTCGGGACGCTTTGAGCAGACGGGGACACTCAACAAGCCGCCGTTGCTCCTTCTTTCCGCACTGTCGTCGCTGGAGGCAGATCATCTGGCGGGAGGCAGGATCCATGACACCTATGAGAAGATTATTGCCAATTCTCTGAGGGCTGTCAAGGATCCGTCCGTGTTTGGGTATCCAGGTGTTGACCATGATTGGCTCTTTGATGCCTCCTATGACCATGATCCTCGCTTCGCATCGTGTGCACAGTGTGATCCAGAACGACGGGTGAGACGCAAGCCTCGAGGCTCACGCACTCCGGTCGTACATTATGGCAACATCGCGTCAGGCAATCAGGTCATGAAACATGGCCTAACGCGCGATCACATAGCGCAGACAACACCAGGAATCTTGTGTTTTGAAATGGAGGCGGCCGGGATCATGGATTACCTTTCGTGCCTCGTAATCCGGGGCATTTGTGATTACTCGGACTCCCACAAGAACAAAGACTGGCAGGGGTGGGCGGCCTTGTCGGCCGCTGTCTATTCGAAAATGCTGTTGGCGAGGATTCCTCCTCATCGGGGTGAGGCATCGACGCCGATCAAAGCAGCTGGTCCAGGGACTAGTAGTATGTATAGTACACTTGGTACCAAGAGAACTATTACTGATGTTACAGAAGTCGATTCCTTTGACGTTCGCTTTGACACGATTGAAATGCCACAAGTTGCCATTTCTGTGGGTCGGGCGGCAGAGCTGGAGATGATATTGAAGAGTCTTCATTCCGAACAATTCCGGGGCATTGTCAGCCTATCGGGCATGGGTGGAATTGGGAAGACCCAAATCGCGATGATGTACCTCATGCGCCAGCGAGAAAAATATTCATCTGTCTTCTGGATCGATGCTAGCAGCTTTGACAAGCTCTACTCCAGCTATTCGCAAGCGGCAAGGCGGATCCTGCTCGATCATCCAGCTGACGTGTCTTTGAACAAGGCCATGAAGAAAGGTGATCGGGTTAATCTGGCCGTTGCAGTCAATGAGTGGCTGAGTCGCCCCTCGAATAATCGGTGGTTACTCATATACGATGGCTTCGACCTCCTCCTGAGCTTAGGCCCTGATAGAGCCAAAGCCATTAATAGGATCCTGCCACCAAGCAAGCAGGGGCATATTATTCTTACCACGAGAGATTATGATATTGGGATTGGTCATCAAATCCAAATAAGGAAGCTGACATCCATCGATGACAGCCTCAATATTCTGACTCGTGTGTGCGGACGACCAAATCTACGAGACGGCAAGTAAACTGCTGGACCTGAGATGTCTTTTGGATGGATAGCTGACTAGTACTATTCAGACCCCTACACCATAAGCTTGTTAGCCCAGCTAGATGGACTGCCGCTCGCGATAATGTCTGCTGGGTCCTACCTCAAACAGAGTGTGATAAGTTGCGGCGAGTATCTCAACCTATACAAAGATTGTTGGCTGCAGTTGCAACAACTAGCGCCGCAACCGCAACCATCTTCGCCGGAAGAAAAGTCACTGCATACAACGTGGAAGGTTACCCTCAACCAGATTATGTTACAGCACAAGCATGCTGCCTTACTCCTCAAGCAGTGGATAGCCTATGATAGTAACGATGTCTGGCATGGCCTCTTCTACCACAGTTCCCGATCCAAGTCAATGTCTGACCTCTTATTATTCGATACGGCAATGGCTGTGCTGAGCCGTTATGGGTGGGTCGAACCAGAGCCTGAACCAGCCGGAAACTCTCAAGAGGATCGGGGCTACAGTCTTCAAAAGTGCATTCATGCCTGGCTTCAATACGAGGACAGTTTCGTGCCGGACATGAACCTGATAACGCGGCTTGCAGTTGGGAAAATCTGCATGTACCAGTGGAATATGGTCACTGTCACCAACTCCAAGTTCTTCTCACGGAAACTCCCTGCTAGGAACCGCCTGCTCCCTCATGCAGACCGATGCCTTGAGATATATCTTTCCGGTGGTAAAGATGAACACAACCGGCTCTCTGACCTGAAGGGCCAAATGCTTCTTGCCGGTCTATATATGACGTGGAGTATTCGGATTTCCACCTTCTACACTTTCTATCTTGATTTCCTGTGCCTGCCATATGAGGAAAAGCAATATTTGACCAAAACAGAGGACCTCTGCTGCCTGATAATGGATAAGCTCGATATGCAACACGATATACCAAACAGGGAAGTGCAAGAGATGATGTCCGAGCTGTACCTCAACCGCGGGGCCATTCGAGTTCGCCACCAGCAGTTTTTAATGGCTGCCAAAATGCTTTTACTGTCCCTCCGAAACAGCAACTCAGAATGCACGACGTCAGATACCCGTGTCACGGAGAATGTCGTGAGCATACAACAGCGTCAGAGTAATGCTCAGGCTGCTCATATCTTATATATTAAGCTAACGGGTCTTCTGGATCAACCAATTCTTCTAATTTCCATTTGGGCACTTATCCTGTATATTGTTTCTCGCCACGGAAGTTCTTTGAAGGACTCTTTGCTAGATGTGCTGCTGCTTCTCGTGAAACCCATGGCGTTTCTTCACTTGTTGAGATCTCGATGGATGCAACGGTGGAAAACTTTGGTGCTGTGGCTTACTGGCCACGCTTGTTGCCAGGTGTATTTTTCGGTGATTCAGTCTACACGGAACTGGGCGGCATTTACCTGCGGAACATACGGGGAGGTAGCATTTGCATTGATCATGATGCCGATGTTCTTTCGTGAGGGAATCTGTTAAAGCTATTTAATACCCTGTAATCTAGTAGGCAAATCTTCACAACAGGACAACAGTGAAATGATGTCTGACAAGTTCAAGATTAGTATCATTCGATAGCGCTAGAAACAAGGAATATAATAATATAATTCTTAGTCTTCTAATTAATTATTCTGTTGAGTTATAAGTATTTAAAGATGACAGTATTTACTTCTGAATATAATTAACACATATAACAGAAATTTAATTGGATTAGCGTATGTAACAGAAATTTAAATCGGGTTAGTACTCTTTTTCAGGAACACTAAGCCCAATTAAGTCTATTAAATATTATAATAATAAATATTATAATAATGAGTATTACTCTAATAAGCGTTACTCTAATAAGCATTACTCTAATAAGCATTACAATAATAAGTATTACCCTAATAATATTTTATAAAATAATATATTAATATCTTTAATATAGATTCTCAGAGTCCTATTTATCCTATATACTAAAAAACTTAAATCATATATATTTATTATTTAATATTATTTATTATATTTAAATTATATTCCTTCAAGAAGTTTTACTTATTATAAAAATATTAATATATAGTAATCTATGCACTCGCCTACAATCAGTTATAAGAAAAGAGAGGTTACATAATATTTTAACTAGTAAATTATAAAGATTATAATATTATAAAAATAAAATAAAAAATTCTAAATATAATATTATATTAATATTTTAAATCTCCGCGATCCCACCGTGCCAGCAGATAATAGAAAGAAATAATATTATAATTAATAATTTTATTATAATTTTTATACTTAGATAGTATTCTTTCTATAAAAAATAAATAATTGAATAAATAATAATATTTCTGTAGTATTAGAGATCTTTTATTTATTTAATATATTTTATCAGCTTGTTTTTCTGCAGGGCTGCTGAACTTATATTTAAATAATTATTTTTAAATCTCCATAATTTCTGTAGAAAATAAATAATAAAATAAATAATAATATTCTTATAGTACTGGAAGCTCTTCTACCTCTGTAATTCCTGTAAAAGATAAATAATAAAGCAGATAATAATATTTTTTTTATTCTTTTTAGTATATTTTATTCTCTTGCCCCGCTGTGCGGCTGGTGAGGTAGAAAGAGAAAAAGATTATAAAAAAAAGAAAAAAAAATAATTTTCTTATTATATTTTAATCTCTGTAACTTCTATAGAAAATAAATAATAGAATAGATAATAATATTCTTACAGTATTAGAAGCTTTTTATCTATTTAGTATATTTTATTAGCTTATCTCTCCGCGGGACTGCTGAGCTTGTATTCTAATAATTATCTTTAAATCTCCACGATTTCTGTAGGAAATAAATAATAAAGCAGGTAATAGTATCTTCTTTATTCTTTTAAATATATCTTATTAATTTATCTTTCCGCGGGACTGTTGAGCTTGTATTAGGGTTTAGGGTTTTAGGGTTTTAGGGTTTTAGGGTTTTAGGGTTTTAGGGTTTTAGGGTTTTATTAGGGTTTTAGGGTTTTAGGGTTTTAGGGTTTTAGGGTTTTAGGGTTTTAGGGTTTTT